AGCCCTGGTGGGATGGGTGAGCCTGGATCCCCCTGGATCCCCCTGGATCAGGTATCCAAGCCCTGGTGGGATGGGTGAGCCTGGATCCCCCTGGATCCCCCTGGATCCCGCTGGATCTGCCACCGCCGCCCCGTTGTGCCCGTTGGCAGCGGCTGATCCTGGAGAAGCTGTCGGAGGACGCGGCGTTCCGCAGGGATCTGGCCCAGGCCGCCGCCTCCCGCTGCCCTCGGAAGCAGCCCCTGGGCAGCCGCCGGGACCCGGAGCCGCTTCCCGCCGGGATGTCGGAGCACTGGGAGCCGGAGTGGTGGGAAGGGACAGTCCCGGGGCAGCGGGACGGGAGCCAGGGGACGGAGGAGCCGGAGCTCGGGAACGAGGAACCGGAGGTCGGGAACGAGGAGCCGGAGGTTGGGAAGGAGGAGACGGAGCTCGGGAAGGAAGAGATGGAGCTCGGGAACGAGGAGACGGAGGTTGGGAAGGAGCTGGAGGAGCTGGAGAACGGGAACGAGGAGGTGGAGCTCGGGATGGAGCTGAAGGAGCTGGAAAATGGGAATGAGGAGCTGGAGAATGGGAATGAGGAGCCGGAGAACGGGAAGGAGGAGCCGGAGGAGCCGCCGGTGGAAAAGTTTGAGGGTTTGTGTTGCCCCTTGGGATGGGGTTGGAAAACTCTGAGGAGGGAGAGGAGGGAATGAGGAGCCAAAGCTTGGGAATGGGGAGCTGGAGGAGGCAGAGCGGGGGGATGAAGAGCTGCAGGAGCCAGAGGGTGGGAATGAGCAGCCAGGAGCTGGGAATGAGGAGCTGGAGGACCAAGAGGTTGGGAATGAGGAGCCAGAGGTTGGGAATGAGGATCTGGAGGAGCCAGGGCTGGGAATGAGGAGCAGGAAGAGCCAGAGTTTGGGAATGAGGAGCCAGGGGCTGGGAATGAGGAGCCAGGGGTTGGGAATGAGGATCTGGAGGACCAAGAGGTTGGGAATGAGGAACCAGAGGTTGGGAATGAGGATCTGGAGGAGCCAGGGCTGGGAATGAGGACCAGGAGGAGCCAGAGGGTGGGAATGAGGAGCCAGGGTTGGGAATGAGCAGCCAGGGTTGGGAATGAGGAGCCAGGGTTGGGAATGAGCAGCCAGGGGTTGGGAATGAGCAGCCAGGGCTGGGAATGAGCAGCCAGGGCTGGGAATGAGCAGCCAGGGGTTAGGAATGAGCAGCCAGGGTTGGGAATGAGGAGCCAGGGGTTGGGAATGAGCAGCCAGGGCTGGGAATGAGGAGCAGGGGCTGGGAATGAGCAGCCAGGGGTTAGGAATGAGCAGCCAGGGGCTGGGAATGAGGAGCAGGGGTTGGGAATGGGGAGCCAGGGGCTGGGAATGAGGATCTGGAGGAGCCAGAGGTTGGGAATGAGCAGCCAGGGGTTGGGAATGAGGAGCAGGGGCTGGGAATGAGCAGCCAGGGGCTGGGAATGAGGATCTGGAGGAGCCAGGGCTGGGAATGAGCAGCCAGGGGTTGGGAATGAGCAGCCAGGGCTGGGAATGAGCAGCCAGGGCTGGGAATGAGCAGCCAGGGGTTGGG